GGAGTTTTCCAGGCACGCACATGGTGTTTGATCGATATGTAGATCATTTCTCGGTACCTACAGTGCGTTTCGAAAGTACGTGCACACCCTCAAAATTCACGTTTGAAAGGGAACCATGAGGTTTCGTGCTATGAAATCCTTCTCAATCGATTTCTCGTAGTCGATAACCTATCAATGGAAGCAAAGCAGATAATATCGCCTCACTTTCGGAAAAAAATTTTTGGATGAAATTTTTTTTTGTTTCAAAAGTATGTGCACACTTGAAGAAGATCAGATTTTGGCGCCGAATTTTCCACCGATTTCAATCCGACTTTGCTGTTTTCATTTCGTCATCATGTCAATTCGCGCCATACTTCTTCCCGAAGATGAGCAAGCTTACGGGGGAAGGTCAACAGGTCGGTCCGGCCATTTGCAATGAGTCGTATACCGTTGAAGTCGCCTCGAGGCGCTGAGCTCAGAACTGCCTTCCTTATCTGCTAAACGATTCTCTGAACGTAGTTATAAAGCAAGGAAGCGCAGTGGCAGTGCCCCGAACTCGCGAGCAAGAGGTCGTGGGAACGGCTCCTCGGAGAGTCTGTTTCTTTTGTGCTTCGTGAAGATGTAGCCAGAAAGCTTCTAACTTCTTAATTTATCAACTTTGCCGTTAGTTCCCTGTACGAAAAAATTTCGAGCAGTTCCTTGCAGGTTTGGGCAGTAGTCGTCCATGTATGAACATGGTGCCCGTAATGCACGTGTCAGGCTTTTTCGCGGCAAACAGGCGTGATATTCGTGTTCAGGAGATCAAACTACCCTTGGAGATAAGTTTCCTACCGAATCTGAGATTTTGACCCAACCCTAAAAAATGAGGTGAGTCAACCATCATATCATCAACCTATCGTTGAACTCTTGGCATGGAAATTGCCCTTCCAACCAAGATTTTGAAAAGAGAAACGTTCAACGGCTCACATTCCCGCATAACGGAAATGATTTACATGACTCTGCATCAAAATTCAGGGAAGGTGCTTTTCCAGTTAGTTTTCGATTCATACCTTCTCTCGTTTGACTGTATGTTGACTGCCCTTTCTCGAGTGTAGGTCAAAATCTCAGATTCAGCTGGAAACTTGTAACCAGGGGAAAATTCGGTCTCCTGAACACGAATATCATACTCGTTTACCGCAAAAACACCTTATCAGTGGGCTATGAGCGTCGTTTTCAGTCATGGCAAATATTAATTAAAAATAGCTTTCAACCTGCGCAGAGGTGCTCCCTAACTCCTTACACAGGCAGGTAAAGGCAGGAATTGAGGAGATACTGTCGCTAAAAGCCTTTCTGGTCATGTTTTCAAAAAGGCAAAACAACAAACACCACGAGAGACCGATCCCATGACCTCTCGCCTACAAGCCTGGAGCGTTACCACTTACGCCACGTCAACCACGACGTGCTCCTTCCCGCTTGGCTTATAGTGGCGACTCCAATGATAGCGCTCATATACTGCGTTTAAGTACAGTGTTGAGGGGAAAACTTCCGTAACTCCGTTCAGAGCACCGTTTAGCAGATAAGAAAAGCGGTTTCTAGCTTATCGTCTCAAGACGAATGCGTAGGTATACACCTCATTGCAAATGGCCGGACCGGCCTGGTGACCTTTCCTCGTTAGATGAAGGTTCTGCATGACAATGAACGTTCCAATCTAGAAATCGCACGATAACTTGGTCGTTCTCCTTAATGCATTCGAAGATTTATCTGGCACCCTGATAATTATACTCAGCACACACTCCGCTCCATCCACGATCCTTGACTGCTCAGAACAACAAAAGAGTAGCCCACATCCTGTCGGATTCTTCATTGACAGTCCGAGCTCAGATTTTTATTCCAGCCTCGAAAATGACCACTAAGCCCCTCATCCGCTCAAATGAATACACCACTCGACAGACGCTGAGAAAGGCTACTCACTTCAAGGCCCAGCACAAGTTAGCCACATTGGAGTCTGCTCGTACAGACATGGCAACATAGGATAGGACACCGGGCGAAGACACGGTTTTTCGAGAATTTCCTATTTTCAAAACAAGCAACTTTTTATGGACTTTCTCTCCTCAGGTAATCTTAACTCATGGAAAGAGTTCGATCTTGACGGGCCGGGTGGATTTTGCTACTACTGGAGAGGCTTGGCCGTGAGTCGCTCGTGCTCTCGAGAAGGAATTTCGGAAGAGGCCCGTTGATGGGTCTGCGGCGGTTTCGCAATCAGCGGAAATTCAGAAGTTGCCGTTCCATTATTGCGTATGAACTGTAAAGAATACCAAGCAGTGCTCCAATGTCACCTGTTGCCCTTCCTTAGCGAAGCGGAGCGAAAATTGCATTTTTAGCAACAGGACCACGTGTCTTTCGATGCTTCGCAATCTACCAAAGAATGGCCTTAACCAAATGGTGCTGAAGCGATAGATTGGCTTGTGTGTCCTCCTTACTGCAACCCTATAGGGAGCCCTTGATCAAGGCGTTAACTTTAGCAACCGGCAGTATAATACCGCGGATGAACTGAAGGCGGCGGTAGAGGCTATTTGGGCCGACAGCGACGAAACAGCTATGCCAAACGTGGTTCAGATTATGCCGGACAGGATGTTTGAGCTAATTAGAAACTCTGGAGGCCCCACTGATTTCTAATCTCAGCTATGTTTTTGTCTTTTGTTAAGTGTGCACATACTTTTGAAACAAAAAAAAATTTCATCCAAAATTTTTTTTCGAAAGTGAAGGCGATATTATCTGCTTTGCTTCCATTGATAGGTTATCGACTACGAGAAATCGATTGAGAAGGATTTCATAGCACGAAACCTCATGGTTCCCTTTCAAACGTGAATTTTGAGGGTGTGCACATACTTTTGAAACGCACTGTATAAGCCAAAAACTGAAAGGAAGGATCGCAGAACAGCTAGCTTGATCAGTGTCGAGGATAGAGTATCTTTGCTCGGAAACGAAATAATTTGCTATAAATTTCGCAAAGGTCTTTGACCATTCTCTCCTACATGTTGAGGAACTTTTGCAGATCGTATTAGGATATTCGCTGCGAGATATGTATACGTATAGGCCATCTGTTTCGCTTCAAGCCATATCTTCCGTAGCACCTCCCATTGTGGCAGTCGTCTTCAATAACATTTAATTGATTTGATTCTTGTTAAGAAGGGAGCGCATCGGTATGGGCGATTTGGTATGAAGCTATATACTCTGTTTCATGCAGCCAGAAATCCACGTGGCACACGTGGCTAAATTCTCGATGAAAAGGTGACATCACGTGTGCTCAAAGATGTTCTTGAATCGATGCCACGTTAATGCCACGTCAATTTCTGCAATTGCACAATTTCTGGTCATTTGAAGGCGAGGGTACCTAATCTATCAAATCTCGAAACTGTCGTGCTTGACAGGGCGATTATTTGCTTGCCAATGTCCAAAAACTTGAGAAAAACCACAAATCTGGTTGGCCTATTACACATAATAGCGAGTGTCTGAAGCTGTTGAGAAAAGTCACTGTGCAACATACGGCAGAGTCGCACAAGTGTTATTGGGAACACAATATCTTAATTTCGCAACGGAAGAAAGTCAGACTGGGGCGAAAAGATATTTGCGATCTGGGTGATGACGTGCTTCAGAGCTGATTCTAGTGCGACCCGATAACTTATTTAGCGGTGGCAATTGATTTCTTCACGTGAACCACACGCTGAAGCAGCTCTGGCTCGGAAGCGTGGAACTCAGATACCAGCGCAGATCCCAGTACGGCAACCAGAGAGGCAACTTTCAGAGTTGGCGAAGCTGTGAACGTCTCGTTGCTGGAAACTCTCGTCAGCAACCAGAATTGTCGACATCTGTGTTCAACATGCAACTCTGTGCTATTGTTGAACACAGATGTCAACAAATAGATGGGCTGGCACACTATGCTTAGAAAACATGGCAAAGTTTGCTTTGTCTAGGCAACCCTCGCACACGAATTACGAAGAAGGTCCAGCTGACCTCTCCGAGTCCCTGGAACATCTTAACCCAATCGGGGTGTTCAGCAGACTAGGCATCAATCGAATACATTCTACCCTTGCTGAAGACTGAAAGAAGAAGTGTTCCAAGACGCGTACGTACTTGAAAGAAAGGGACTTCTTAAAGTTTTTTTTTCACCTCAAAACCTCACGGTTTCCAGAAAAATTGCATCCACAGGTCATCTGCTGAAAGTTAGTGAATTAGATCTGAAACTATTGTGAACCGACGTGGGAAGGACCAAACGCCACCACCAGATACCTGATGTAGACGTTCGATCTGTCTTCTGGCAACTGTAAATGTTTAGCGATAATGGGTGTAATCTTCAAGCCTGCCCACTGCTTGCCCCATCACTGACCGATTTCGACCACATGATAGTGGCCACCTCCACTGACCATGTTTAATTCCCATTGTCGGGATATTTCGCAGTAAGACCTCCATCAAGGGTGATATCATGAGCGACAAAAAACTTGCATATGTGCAGGCCGATACCCTCTATTAACCCACTTGTGAATTCATACAACCACTCAGCTAGTACTAGCGCTGAATATTAAGAAGGAGTAGTTCCAGCTTATGAATATTAGTTTTGAGCCAACTAAAAACGAATTTCGCTATTTCATTGCTGCGCGCACATTGTCGCTACAAACATACTCTTTAGAAACTCTTACATAGAAAGGAAAATCAGTTTAACATACCAATCGTGGCATTTCTTGTCAGGGGATCTATAATTGACTCGAAATCTACACTGCCTTCGTAGAACAGATGATGGAAGAGATTATTGGCCTGAATGACACATGTTTTTAGGTATTTGAACGCCAAAATTTTGTATAGAAACCTTGACAGCTTCTTCGCCGTTCTGCTTATATCCAAAAACTAAATCGATCCATTCATGCAGGTGAGACGACACGTAATCGCATTCCAAAGCCTGACGGTGGAGCCTGCAAAACGAATATCTTACGAATAATTCCGAAAGACACTCTCGAACAATCGAACGGATACGAAATCTGTCTACCAACAAATGCTTGAACAAAAGTCAATCTCTTAGAATCAAACTTTTATTCAATTTTGTCAGACGTATAAAGCTTACTATGAAAGTAAGCCAGTTTTAATCAACGCACCGAATGAACTCCCTCGCATCACCGTGGGCCCATGGAGGGAGAACAACATCATCCAATGCAACACCGTTCTGCTTCACTCCGAAATCGAATCTGTTTTTGTTCTGAAATAGTCAGATAAGTAAAGGTCAACCAGTCCAGAAATCCAAGGAAAAAGCCTGGTTTGTTGTGGTTTGCCTGGTCAAGCACTCCGAACACCAAAACAAGGTATGTATCGAAAACCTTTAAGATTAGTGTTGGAAAACTTGTTCCTAACATTGACTCCTCGTCGTCGTATGGCGCTCAGCCCAACACCCATTTTCTGTCAGATAAGGAGTCTTCTCCAGTGACCTCTACCTCAGTGAATTGTGTTCCGTCAATATCTTTCACACTGCATTAATTTGATGGCTTCCTTATGGCAACTCACTATTGGCTTTGTACACTCATCGCAGCTGAGAAAATCTTCATTTTCAAACGAAGCTTACTCTCTACCAGCACTTCGCGCCATTTTTCACCTTCTCAAGCAGGTCTTCTTTTCGATTAACTACCAAGGCAATGTCCTCAGCGTAGCTAACAGCCGATTGTAGCTCCTCGGTGAGTTTGTTCACCATAAAGTCCAGAGTCAGTATGGAGGGGTACGTGTGTAGTACCAGACTCAACTATGCCAATGCGCGCCCCATTGTTGAAGACACAGCAGGGGATGGGGTCAACGAAATGTTGCTATAAAGCTGAAAAGAAACAAGAGCCGTAGATGGTGAGATATGATATTTTGTTGCGGCAGAAAATACCCAAGTAGCGATGTTAATGGGCGTCAAACGCTGGTCCATCCCCCACCGTAATAGTATCGTATAATTTGAGTCGCCCGTAACGTCGCTCTTTCTTTTCGTCTTTTTCTCCTCGGCGCCCATTATCTCGCATCTGGCCAGTCCATACTCTTCTTCACATTGTATTATCATTTGGATGGGATGTTTGCATTTGTGTTTTCAATGATTTTTCTTCATTTTTTTCGACTGGTCAGCCACTTCGCACCCCTTCTTTCTATCGAGCGCTCCTACCCTGGCACGAATCTAAGGAATGCCCCCAAATCCTGAATGGTGCGCATGACCGCCTTTGCCTCACAGTTCTATAAATTCCTTTTAGCCTTGCGTAAAGCCTAGCATAATAATCAGAAAAAAACGTCCTTACCAGCAGCAACTCCGGTAACACAAAAAATTCCGGGATCAGTTCTTTAACATCAGCCATGTTATTGCGGCTTGCACTGACCCACGCATCGCCGATACTATGGAACATCCTATCCGCGAGATCAAAATGACCACCCTACAAAAAAAATCAACAAGTTATCAAATGATCAAAAACTTGTAAATCTGAAAAGACGATACGAAGATGGAAACTCTAAACAAAAGAAAGCACTCAACAACTGCTCAAGATAATCATCAAATCTCACCTGAAGACTGAGAAATTGTTGAGTGAAGGGTTCTAGTCGAACAAGATATGAAACTACAATCATAGCCGAAGAGTAGTGGGTGCCGTACATGTAAGGAGGCGTTTCTCCAGTAGGATCATCCCACTCTCGATACCTGAAACGCCAACTTTCGTATACTTTCTCAAACAATTACGTATGCATTAACGCCTAACCTCTTCAAAAACTGCTCAAGCCTCTGCGGATGTTGCGCTCCCATGGGTTTTGACAAATCGCGGAACGTCTTCGGATTCGTGAAATCAAGAGTGGACGACGAGTAGTCCGCTAACACCCAAGGCAATATTGGGTACTGCGATAAATCATTGTAGGACCTGAATTCGATAGGTACAAAATAGAAAAATAGCATTAACGCTCGCTGAAACCAATGGGTCACCATTAAATGCAACCAATTTACCTTCCTGCCAGCGTGTTCAGATGTATTAAGTACTGGAAGTTACTTATTTGCCCATTCAACCATCTCTGAGTTACCGACTGCTGACCTCAAATCAGTGACGTTGAAATCAAAACAGAGTGAACTCACACGACTGCACATGAAATTCGATTAATTTCAATTATATCAGACCAATCATAACACTTGAAAGAGGCAAAAAGGGCTGAACTGCACTAATTTCGCCCTGCTACGTATACCCCAAAGACTAACTGGTGAATTTGCAAATTTTCCGAGTTCGCTCGCTAGATAAATAAAGGCCCACTTTGCGACCAGTTCGACAGAATTATTTCTTTTCGTAAGTCACGAGTATGATTTCATGTGTCGCGAGTGCGCCTAGACGCACTGCGCACCCCGACCTACTCCCCTCGGACGCCAATGTGCTCATGGTGCCATTGGGCACATCAGTCACCTATAGCGCTGTACGATCGCCACGATTTCCAACTTCTCCCCGGGTACGATGACGGTGACAATGTCGCACTTCTCGTGATTAAGAGTAGGGGGTGCGTCCAAAGATGCCGAGTTTTGGGACCCATTCCTCGACCGGGGCTTGTTGCACCCGGCTGCTGGCATATAACACCCCTGCAAACATACACGTTGCAACAGCGATCACATTTCTTCAATTTGAACCCTATTTAAAAATGAATTGTGCACGATACTGGACTGGGGAAGGCTGCATCCGAAAACATACCTCCACGCCGCGCATAACCTTGGTTGGACCATTAGAAAGTGCACGACAAGGTCAGAAGGCATTTGCCATGACTGCAACTAACCGCGGCTCCTGCTGTTCAGATTACAACAGTCTATGTAGGAGCGTCTACTCCGTCTCATGCAGCATGCTCTTTCGCGTATCCTCCTAACCTGACGCATTGTCTCTCCGTCGTACCACGGCTGAGTCACAAAAACTCTTGAGCTCAAAGGAAAAAGACTTTCTTCCGATTACAATGTTTCCGATGGTTTGTTTTCCTTTTTCCTTCATCCAGGATCCCTTTTGTACCACAACTTTCACTTTCGAATGGAATAAGCATAGACTTGGATCGCGGAATGTGCCTTTTAACTTTTATCAGAAATAAGTAACTAAAACTCAATAGGTATTCGCGGAGAACCTACCGATAATTGAATTTAACAGCGATGCTCTGCCACTCTGTTCGATTGCCATGGTTGCCTTTTGACCACCGACAGAATCAGTGCCACCAGCCGTCAAACCTTTAGCCATTGACAGAAGCCTATTGAAAACGATATGAACGAACAAAGAAACATGGTTGGTTGCAAACCTTACTTCTCGTACACCCTATCCCGCATTTTCTTGGGAAATGCCAGAAGGTAGTTTCGGCCATCAGCACTGAATACTTCAAGAGCGATTGGCTGCAGAAGATATCTGCAACAGATCACAGCTCGCTTAAACTCAACAGCCGGGAAATTAAGTTGAAAATACAGTGCATAATAATAACATCGCGTTCAAATTTGCCCTTCTGCAACAAATAGACAACTAGGAATTTTACAGTATCACCGACTAATTCCTAATCCCTTCGAATATCCCTCATATTCAAGTTAAGGCAAGAGCAGCGTTCCTTTCGTCCTTTTTCATGATTATTTCTCTGCAACATTCCTTAGTAAAGGCCATTCTTAGGAAACAAATAGTGTTGTGAGTAACAATAAAGACTGCTTGGAAAACTACATGTTTGATACTAACACATCTGTGAACACTAGGGAACTTTTCGGGGTCGCACTTTGAAGAAAGGTCAGACTTATGCATTTCGTGGTGCTCGCCTCGGTCTTAACCTATCGTTTCTTCATATACTCTAGCTTTACACTCTGAACCCAGAAAAATTACTGTTAAGGCTCAGAGAAGAATTATGAGGGCTGCCCCGAATAATATTTTCTCTTGAAATTAGATTCGCTTTTGATTCAGTTTCTTTCGATGAACAATAGGGATTAGAGAGTTGTGTAAGGGAGTGACCGGGTCAGGGAAGCAGCAGAGATGACCCCAAGGTATACTGCTATGCTCTCTAGCAGTAGACCTTAGTATTTCTTTGCTACACATGAGATACCTCAAGTAGAAACAATAACAACAACACTGGCCAACACGGGAAAGCAAGAATTCAATTTTCAAGGTTAACCAAGAAAAAGGTTGAATAATATTGAACCTAGGCATTTTTCGGATAACAAGGTTAGCTGATTCAGACAGTCTCTGTGAACGTAAACACTTTTGGCGTGATTGCAAAATTGGCTGAGGCTCGCGGTTTCAGCGTAGGAGATGTTAAGTAAGGACGCTTTTTGCGATGATGTTGTGCCGGACTTTTTCCCTTGAACCCAGAATCACCCCAAAGCAAAGGGATCACGTATGTATCTCTGCAAAGCCTTGCAAAGATTTATGATCCCTTTTGAGGAGAAGAAGTTGTTACGTGAGGATGTTGTGACGTAAACTACGCATTCATGCAGAATAATGCTGGTAGACATGTAAGCACACAACGAAAAGTGGTAGTACTAATAAAACTCATGTTCTGAATAGGTATGAATTTCCGTTCAGAAAAGTAAAAAGTAATCAACTCATACGACGAAAAAGACGCGGATACGCTTCTCCCGCGGCTTTTCTTTTAAACAAAGTTATGGGAGGTACTATATACCTGCAGTCTCAGTCGCACTTAGATGGAAAATCTCTGAGATACTTTTGTCAAGGACTGTAATGCAAGTAAGTGACAGTTGGGAAGGAAAGAGCTAGAGCAGACCTATGAATCACAAAAACGATGGTTAACCGTCTCGGAATCCTAATTCTAGGGTGCCACGGATACGATGTTCGAAATGCAGGAACCGTAAATTTTGCATTCTTCACGACCGCCATTAACGTATTATAATGAAGCTAAAGGAAAAGGTTGTCTGCCAGTTAGGATATGGGTTCATTCCTGGTAATTACCTGCTAGTTTGTTTAAAAAAATCCCAGGTACGTTCCCGATGTGGAACTGCCAAATTCGAAGATGACCTTATAATTATCGAACGCACTGCAGCAAGGATATGTTCTTGGAAGTAAGCGAGTAAGCGGAAGTGAACTGTGACCATGACTTCCCAAGACCCACAATTTTAGTGACTCTGTAGGTAAATGCGATTTTTCTGAAGAGAAGACCTTCAGCACAGACCGATTTCAAGGCCACGTTATCAGAAATTTGCATGGGAAATCTAACCTTCGTTTATGGACCTCTCGGATATCCTCGTAGCTGAATTTGCTGCAGAGGCGCGACGATCGCGGTGGATGCGTTGCACCCGTAGCCGTGTAAGGAACGATTGGATCATGAAGCCTGAAGATGTTTCACTCACGTCTAATTTCCTTTTGAACTTATATTTTTGAAGGCAGCAATCGGGATAACGTCGATGATGTATTGAAGCAGAGGTGCCAAATGGCGCTTAGCGAAAAACGAAACACGCAAGAAAAGCCAAAATCCCGAAAAAAAGGGTCCCAGTTGCACATTGGTATCGGATTCGGAAAAGTTAGCCATGGCAAACTCTTCACCGAGCACCTAATCAATCGAGTCGATGAAGCGCAGACGCCATCTTTGAAACTCCCTCTTCTCTGGACCAAATACGACTCTCCTTGTTGATTTTGACACAAAAGACGGCTGGCCCTGTTTCTACCTCTGAGGAGGAAGCGGATTCAGGCGCTCATCGAGCCCCTTAATTTCACGTCTTTTTACGCCATCGAGTCCATCTTTTGCTGTATCAGAGCGGCTGTCGTTTCACTGCGCAGGTCTATTCTCTCCACTACGCATCTTTTATAGCGTCTAATTTATAGCGACCACTGCCTTCAGAAGCTAAGAAGTGGACTGGGGTGAAACATGGCAAAATCAACAACGATCCAAAATCATGCTCACTCTGAGCTCAAAAAGTCTAGGTCGCGAATCTCTCTCGTTTTCAGAAGAGTAAAACCGTCGACAACGTAGTAGTGCTCCCGTCCAAATAGCAGTAACCCTTCGGAAGTTTCAAGACCCTGCAATATGGAAGATGTACTTCATACACAAAGTCTGAATGACCTGCTGACTTTACCTGAATTCTAGCGCAACGGAACATGCTATGTAACTGCTCGCCCTGCTCCAGTAGTCGCAACAGCGTCTGATTATCCGGTCCGCGTTTTTTTCGGTTCTCATTATCTTTTTTCTCCTCCTCCTTTACTTCCTCACGACTTTCTGACATTGGTTTATCACTGGCCAATGATTCATCCTGTTGTTCTTCTTCGAGTTCCACTGAAGGCTCCTACAGAAAAAAGGTGAGTAATTGATTGTACACCGGAAAGACAAAGTTGACAGCAGAGCAAGCAGGTGAACCAAAACAAAAGAATAACCTACTTTCGTTCCATTTTCGTCAACATTCTCGTTCTCCTTCCCATTATCTTCGACAGCAGGAGACGGTGATGTTTCAATGTGCGGTCGAAGGGAGAGCCGACGAATAAGCGATGAGTTAATTTCTATAAAAAAGACGTTTACCAGCCGGGCCCATTTCATGAAAAATCGGACACTGACACTAGAAGAAATTACAGTCTTGGTCTTCGAATATGAGTACGATTCAACGGAGAAACTGTAAGTAATGTAAAAACCTACGTGCTAGATCACAAAAGGTGAAGGCAGGTTTTTCTTCAGATGGCGTCGAGATGGCAACAGAGTAGTCGATTATGCGGGAGTCCATTATTCGCCCACGTCTTTTCCGACACGCGTTGTAGTATAACTCACTATCACGAGATATCGCCACCTTTGCACGCATTGCTTTCTAAACAATTAAGCGCTTTTCTCTTCAAAACTGGACAGCATAAAGCCACAGAAAGCATGCGCAAAAAATTTCCGTCCGAAAACAATGTAGAGAACAAAGACTGATGCTTTCCTACCGCACTCGGCTCATCCAAGTGAGGGCGATAAGGGAATGTGTGATAGAAAAACCGATTGGGTATCATCTTGCGACGAGTTCGCGATGGACCTTCCGTCGTGTCCAGTTTGTACTTATCCAGCACGGACGCCTGTAAAACGTTAAGAAATAAACAGTGAATACAATACATTGGGTTGGTGCATAATAACGTAGCGTTTTTTCTCGAGCTACAAACTCAGTGAATACAAGTACTACCAAGGAAATCACATATATCATTTGAAAGTACTTCTTCCGCTCTACAAAACCTTGTTTGTTATTTTCTTCTATATTGTAAATGTACTCAGATATGGTGCTTAGAAGTTGGAAACTCAGGGTGGGCGAAATCTATATATATATATATATATATATATATATATATATATATATATATATATATATATATATATATATATATATATATATATATATATATATATATATATATATACCAGTTTGGCTGCGCACGCATTCGCGTGCATGAGACGGGGCTGCAGCGGTAAAATCGGGCCCATCAGTATTTTTGTCTTGATTTTAGCTTTCTGCTCGGTACATCTTACTTACGCCGCAAACTCCGCCCACATCCGGGTGTGCCACGCCCAGCGTTCACATTCAACCTCTACTCCTACTTTCACCTCTGGCGTATTTTTTTTCAGGTCTCTAAGTCATCTCGGAGCCGAATTATGAGGTCTTGTAAATGGCGTTATGAGTCACGAATTTCTGAGGCAGACCCCGCCCACTTTGGTGCATGGTTAGCCCAACAATGGCATTCAACCCTACTCCATACCTCAATACTTATGCACATTTTCCCCGGTCGCCGGAACTTCTAGGAACCGAGTTATGAGAGCGGTGGCAAACTCCGCCCACATCCGGGTGTGCCACGCCCAGCGTTCACATTCAACCTCTACTCCTACTTTCACCTCTGGCATATTTTTTTCAGGTCTCTAAGTCATCTCGGAGCCGAATTATGAGGTCTTGTAAATGGCGTTATGAGTCACGAATTTCTGAGGCAGACCCCGCCCACTTTGGTGCATGGTTAGCCCAACAATGGCATTCAACCCTACTCCATACCTCAATACTTATGCACATTTTCCCCGGTCGCCGGAACTTCTAGGAACCGAGTTATGAGAGCGGTGGCAAACTCCGCCCACATCCGGGTGTGCCACGCCCAGCGTTCACATTCAACCTCTACTCCTACTTTCACCTCTGGCACATTTTTTTCAGGTCTCTAAGTCATCTCGGAGCAGAATTATGAGGTCTTGTAGGGGACGAAATCGAGCTACGTATCTTTGTGGCAAACCCCGCCCACTTTGGTGCGTGGGTCGCCCACTGATATCAGTCGGCTATCATCTCTTCCCCAACCTTTTTCTACTTTTCTCCCATCTCTGGAACTTATTGGAACCGAGTTATGAAGTACCGTGGCAAACCCCGCCCACTTTGGTGCATGCTCCGCCCGCCAACAACGGTTGACCCCTTTCCCTCTGCCAACCCTCATACGCTTTTTTCCCGGACTCCGGGACTCCTAGGAACCGAGTTATAAGCCTAATTGCAAACTCCGCCCACTTTGATGTAAGCCACGCCCATCCCTGACATTTAGCTTCCCCTCCCCTCCTGACCTCTATCCGTTGTTTTCCGGTCTCTAAGTCATCTCGGAGCCGATTTATGAGCTCTTGTAGAAAATGCTGTCCGCTTCACGACACGCTCCGCCCATTGTGGGCGGGCCTCCGTTCACATCATGCGTGGTGGAAATACCTTAGGCATTGCTCCCCTGCACTAATTTCGTTTCTGGTCTGTAGGCTTCCTCTTAACCGAGTTATGAATATTTTCACTGAGCACCCATTTTCTAGAGAACGCCCCGCCCACCGAGGGTGGGTCTCCTCAGTTCAATCTGGCTTACCAACCCACAGCCAAAAGGGAGTTTTTCGGGGTTTATCGTCATCATCGAAACTTACTCCGATCGACCCTCAATCACAAATCATATTTACGTCGTACATATTGAGAATGATGAGGACTCTGAAAACGGGCTCAGTACCCTTTTTTAAATTCTGGACCCGGCAATCTTTCGCGAAATGGGATCAAAGTCGTATATAATGACGAGAAGAACATCACTGATTAGTTTTATGCTTGGCTTTGCTTTGGTTGGGTTTTGCTTTGAACGTTTTTGCCGAATGCGAGCGCTACGATATTATGCACTAACCCAATAATTTAGAACACTTACGAGACATCTGATAAAGAAAGTTTTAGGAAGGAAAATAAAAAAAAGCTAATGATCTTGTCAACCATGTCTTGAAAGAGGAATACAGCCGTCACATCTTAGTGTTAGAACTAAAGAAAGACATACTTTTTCAGGCCCCCATATGCCCCGCTCTCGAGTGAGCTCAGCTTCCAACTGATGCCACTCATGTAGAGCCCATTTCTTAGCGTGTGCATGCCATTCGTGATATCGTGTTGCTTGTGCTACAACCAGCTCTTTCACCAGACTCGACGTGAACTCGTAACCACATGTGAATCACCTATAACTTCATTATTTCTCAACAACTACGACCTGAGATATCAAAACCGAGTGGAATTCTCTCATTGTCGTACCTCTTTATCGACGCTTACATTCTTCCAAGGCAACATGGAAGTCACACTACCATGAGAGCTCAATGTTCTCCTACTTGCCATTGACAATTTATGTAGTCCAGAAGCAACTCGGGTGATTTTCTGCAAATTTTGTAAGTCGTCTCATACCACAGTGAAAGGGTGGTTTTTTTCTTGATTAGTGAAAATCCTTAGTGAATGCAAAGTCACGGAGACATGAAAGCCGCAACTTACGATGAAAAGACAGACGATTAGGAATCAAGGCTGAGGTGATCAGTGATGTCTGATGAAGAAAAAATCAAGAAAAATGACGTAAACGCCAGAAGTGGGACCCTCTCTTTCCCCGTTGATTTGCGTCTTAGGCTACTCTCATTGGTGCTGACCTCATCAACGCTAACGCTCACTCTGCAAAAGCGGATCGAGTCACGCGGCGATGAAGCAGCTATCGTGTGACGTGCAGCGGTACGTGTACGGTCCTTCCAGGCCGCTGAGGCATACTTTTCACTGCAAGATCATCGTCCCCCACCGTTAACGGGTTCGCCTGCCTTTCCACTAGGTATACGTCCCCTTCATCGACCTCCAATATAGGCGTGCAAACCTCCGTTAAGAGGACACATGATTACTGCTAATAGTTTCTATATTTTTGACGATTTCGAAACAGCACCGATATGACGCGGCTAAATCTCCCATGAAGCATGCCACAGTCAAAAAAATTGAAGGCACTAACCGAACTGATTTGTGTTTGAATATCTCTTGAAATGGTATGGTTCGGATATGTCCCAGACAGTTGACTGTCAACAAACTGATGCCAGTGCTGACCTGCCACATTAGCCAACAGTGCTCGTGCAGCGTTCAATTCACTAAAAAAAACCCACTTCACATGATTCCGTGAAGTTCGCACGAAAGACATCTCGTGAAACGAATGTGTGGCCTATGATTTGCTTCCTAGCAAAGAAAAACAAGTGAAACCAGAACATACCAAACAGTGGGTTTCTTGAAAGCTTCCTCAAGTAAAGCTTTCTTTGACGAGATGACATCAGTCCACACACGGCTAGCACACACAGCAACCTACATATCGGATATTATGGTTTAAATGAATGATAGCAGCAAGTTAGTGAATTGTTATTAATTGGTATTATTAGTTAGTATTACTAAAAATTATAACGTATTAGTGGAACGTTACGCAAACAAGACTTTAAATAAGTACTGCTCTAGCCATAGCAATTCAATAGATCTTGCTTACCTGTGCACTAGCTTTTTCAAGAGGAGCGTTCTCCTGCTGCATAATATCTGGTGTTACGCTGAGCATGAAGATTAGATGAGTGAGAGATGTGAAGAACCAACTCTCGTTCGACGAGAGGAAAATATACCGCTTTGTCACAATAGACGACAGAGTATCCAACACGGACATTTGCACTGGAAGTGAATAGTGAAAATCTAACGATTTTACTGCAACGGAAAGAAGATCCATCACGTTCTCCACTATTGAGTCATTATAACTTCCAAATTACTAAAAGCAAGTTAGAGAATATAAAAAGGTCATCTTAGCAGCTGATCGATAGAATATAATTTTACTACCTGCCAAATTTTTCATGCCCATAGCTCGATGACCTATATCAACGGCTACTGCGGAAGGATGTTATGCCTACCCTTTATATTGAATCAAGAACTTATTTTATGCACCACTCTGGGAAAATGATGACCGGCGGTTCCCACTCCCGAATAGGCCACCGCTACTCTAACCATCGTTTATATAGGGCACCAACGACTCCTTCCTACCAAACCTAACATGATCCCCTCTCATCGAGGATTTCTCAACGCTTGATCGTGGCTTAGATGGACCTGACACTGTCCAGTCCACGCCTTGTGTCACGGAAAAAGTACGTGGTATGTAGCGCTACCTGCCTACCACTTTTCAGTAAAATTCAAAAAATCTTTTGAAAAAAGCACTCCATGTTCAGCGGAACTTCCGCCCCCTTATTCAAAAGCGTCTGAACCGTCTTACCTTGCACATTTTCAATTGGTCGACTCAGTATATACAACACACACCGCATAATGGACGATGTTAGACTATCCAAATTAATTTCCTGAATGAAAGTAATAGTGATGAGCGATAATGCTAAAAAAAAACTCATGTAAATCGAATTAAAATTTACCTTATTCTCTTTGCGACTAGCTATCGAGTAGACACTGTAAAGAAGTTGTAATAATCGGAGTGGTTCACCGACTATAAAACCATTCCAAAGGCAGTCGACTGCACGAAGAGCCATGTACGAAATGTTAACTCCCACCTATAATTGGTTTCTGTCCATGAATAGTTCTTGACTGAGACGACTTGTGAGAGGAAAACTGCCATGACTACTTTGGAAGATATGCAAAAGTCTCAGATCAAAACCGATCTCACCTGAGCCAACGACTGAGGAGGAGCGTTAGGGGGAAGGGATGACGAAACCAAGAGATCAGTGCTTAATAAATGCTCGAAAACCTATAAAGCCTTTCTTACATAACATGCAGAACGAAAAGAATAGTACAAATGAACAAGCCTTACCCCATGAACTAAAGCTGTTAACGTAACAATTTGTAACTTTCTTGTGCGGCCATTTTCTGCTATACTCTGGAAATAAATCAACACTACACGTGTGTCATTGACAAAAAAGAAATGAACATGACTGACAAGAAAATGGAGAGTAACATTGGCTGTTTACTTATAGAAACTCGTGACTGTAGTATAATAACGATTTACCGAAGAAAAAATCATAAGCATACCACCTGAGCCAAACAAAACTTACTTCAGTAATAACGTCGATCAAACTGTCCGCCCGACTTCCAGGCGCAACTTGAAAATCATCACAAAACAACTTCTTCATGAAGTCGAGGACTGCTTTCACGCTTGGCAAAGCTAGCACTGAAAGTCTTGAAATAAGCCATAAAATTATATTATCATCGTGACGAAAGTTGTGTTTTCAGAGGCAAATCAAGTAAGAAGTTCATGAATGCATGAACGCATATGGAATGAGCCATCTAAATTAGTTGGAGGTGAGCCAGAAATCAGAAGTAGCATACCAACCACACATCCGCTTCTATAGCAAAGTTGTTAGCACCTAGCAGTGAGTAAGACATTGAAGAGCTCAGAACGATAGTGTTCGTAAAGCGAGGAGAGGAGCGGCGGCAAGCGAATAGACGAGAAAAGTTCTTGCTTCTAGTATTCCCAAGCAAAAGCTGTCTCACTACTTCAGGGAAATAGATGATGTACAAAGCTGAATGTTCAATTATGCTGGCCTCAACCACCCCTTGCCGTTGTCGAGGCGTAGTGGGCGTAGTTTACAGATGTAGATAGAGGCACCGTGCACAAATTCAATACAAAGGATAGAACCGACTGGTGGAGGGTGAAAGTTTTCAGGGAGGATCCTTTGAATGAAATATAACAGTATTTCTATTTTTTTTAGATTTTTGAACTGGAAAACTTTATCTGCAAGCTCAAACACATCCAACCTCCTTGTACTTTCTCAAGTTCAGGTGTTCCAACGGTATTTTTGTCGGCTGCCTCTGACTTAACTCCCATTGCGTTAGTATCCTGTAAAGTCCTCGGAATATCTTCAACTAACTTGTCAGCAGCAGCAAAAATATTACATTGAAGATGTTTACCTGGATCAGACTAGAGAACATTGCAAGAACGAATTCTTCCGAGTGAGCAATTGCAAAAAAGTTGGGAGAATTCTGATAAAGGAATGTAATCATTTGCACAACAGCTGATGGGTAATCGGCATGCCATCCTTGCAGAGCCTAAGAAGTAAACATTGTTAATCGCACGCAGCCACACAAAGGGAATCATTTCGCGTGAATGAGTTGATTTTTATGTTCCAAAACCGACAATGCAATGAATGTGATACTGCACTGGCACAAAGTAAATTACACGTACCTCATTGCCGGAATAGATGCAGGCTCTGACCATTGCTAGAAGTGGTATAAGCGCATCATAGCAGAACTCTGCTGACTTGATTGCTTCATAGACGGAGCTGAAACGCGAGATTATGAGAAACAGTACCATACTCCCTAAATATAGAAATGTATACCTATTCAGCGCCAGTCCAAAGACATGTGTCCATATTTGGTCCACATTGAAATTTTCACAAAATCGAAGATCTTTCACGGGCTAAAAGTGAAGAAATTGCCTACACGACCAGTTTTTCAGAGGGTGGGAATATTGGCATGGAGCGCCAATTTTCGTTAGCACCACTTCATCCAGTGCGCACCCTACTGCGCGCTTTGCACAAGCGAATCAACGATACGTACAGGGCAACCGATAGTTTTGATCTTATGGTTAGTTCCGCCCGCATTGCCCTGTGAGTATTGAAGCCATTTCTACTTTTTCCGGTGTCTCAAAGACCAATATGTACATTACCAATATGTATAGTATTGTTCCGTATAAAGCGTCTGGCCTACCCTAAGCGTTTGTTTGGTTTGTTTTTCGACCCGCATCGCTGCTGCCAACTACATTCAAATTTCGCACACTCAAGACCCTTCAGAATTGGAGTTGTGAACTTATGTAATGAGGCCTCTTGCATTGAGCAGTGTCCGCATGCTTCAAACACATCCAAGAATTTGCATTTTTTTTCCACATCTCTAAGCGCCTATGGATCGAGCTATAATATAACTGTTTTCCGTGGAAGACATCCCATTTACAGTGAAATTCTGCTTAGCATAGTGCATGCATACACATGCAGCGGATGTGTGAAGCATAAATGACCATTGAAAAAAAAAACAAGGCGTGGCACGCTTGGCCTCGTGAAAAGCAAGAGCAAACTCGCTAGCGTCGATCACACGAGACCCCGTAAGCGAGAAAAAGTGGGCAGAGGTTGGCGAAGAGCGGTAGGCCAGATGCCGAAGTAGGCGGGCGTGCTCGGATCGGAGTGTGGATTGCTGCGGAAGCTCTTATTCAGATCAACGATAGCCCATAGATTGGAAAATAGCGGATGAGGTTTATGGCGAATAGAAGTTCAGACGTTTATGGCGGACAAAGTACATCGAAATAGGGAGAGGTGAAATTCAAAGTCACAATAAAATTCTGAGAGCATGGGGGTCGGAGGAAAAAAATGGTCATGGGCTAGTGAAGGAGTTTAGGTGGAGCGTTCGTGGAAAGCTGGATGTGCAGCAAAGAAAGACGAGGCAAAAATCAAAATTACCGTTAACCCGTTCGCTAAAGACAGCGAAATCAAAGACAAAAAGGCGTCTCATCTATCGGATGGTCCAAACACCCTTAGCTTTTTAGTTCACAGCTGTGCCAATTAGCATCACTTTCAAAATTTTGTCGTGCACACCGCTGATCTTCTGCTTCCCAATGCGGTTCACGATAACAAAATTAAAGGCATAGGTCAGGGGTGTGTTATATTGTTCAAAATTGGACAAGAAGTGCGAAAGGAATATTAGTGAGCAGAAGAGCAAAAACACCTTGCGGAACACTGAAATTTTCCTTGTGAGGCAAGCCGTGGTATGACGGTAAAACAAAGCGCAGCGAGTATTCAGTAAAGACGCAGGAAAGCCGGTCGAACGCGCGAGGACACGATTGATAGGGCCGGCAGCAATCGCAGCGGTCGAGCGGAAGCATTAAATCTTTTGTTGCGCAGTTTCAAGTCGCGACACCCCTATAATTAGGGGTCTTACTACCTCGCTTCACAAGAGAATTGTCTGAGGCTCTGCGCGACCCTCTCCTTTGGTGCTTCGTGTTCTACGGCAGCCTTACATTATGTTGGTACTGGAGAAAGTTTATGAATTAGTACGATTTGTGTACATATGTGGGGATCACGCAATGCGTATGTGTATCGTTTACCATTACTCGCAGGTGTTCTAGTTTGGCTTTCAAACACTGTCGTCTGCTGATCGCAACCACGTACTAATAACTGCTCTAGCAAGCGCCTCAAGCTACCTATTTGCGTTACAATCCGGTGCACACGCCTCCTACAGTAATCACGGTCACCCTCTTTTAAAATCAATCAATCGCCTACTACCCATTGAAAAACTTCTGACCATTTTCTCGCGAACAGTAGTGGGAAATATCCGGAAAGCAAACTCCATTTCACATGGAAAGAAGAACCAAAATTTCAGCTCACCTGGCCAACGAGTATTGCTAACATAGCAAGGTATGCGTGGGGTTTGTCTGCATGAGCAGCCATCAAATGCTCTAACGCCGCGAAACCCGCACAGTTTTGCAGTTCTGGATTGATATCTATCTTGCTGCCGACTGCTCCACCGTGTGCAGATACAGAAAAACCTAACACCACCTGGAATGGCTAATCATAACAAAGAAAAAGTTCCTAAGAGCCTTGTAAACACAACCCATGACTGCTTCCACAGAATTAAATTTTGTAAGCTAGACTTAAAGAGCACAACAAATTAGACTAGAATAGCGAGTTCTTACAGCAGCTCGATTTCGTACAACTGAGTCCGCATCCGTCAACCAGCCACCACTCCCTGTGCCTTCCCGGAATTTCGATAGCAAATGAGGATGCGCCACGAGGGTCAGAAGAATTCTGAGTGCTAGGAATACTGTTCCTGAATGAACACCGGGCGATAGAAGGCAATAAATCCAGTCGAAACCAAGAACACGAACTATTTGCTCCGACATGCTGAAACATCGATATGTGAAGTACAGCTGCAGGTCATAATCGCGAAAAATTACAATTCAGCAACCCAAACAACTTACTGCTGGTTGAGTGGCGGACTAGAGTGCGATAGGAAATTGGCGATCATATTTAGCAGACGATTTCTTACGTAGACCAAGTACAGCGCACATGGTTTACCTGAAATCAAACACCAAACGTAGGCAAGCTGCTGAAGCTGAATCACAGCATGTTTTCTAAATTTGACGCAATACTGGAAGCTTCGAAACAGACAAAATGTATTTTCCGAGTTTTTACATGCTAAACCACTTTCCCTGTTAGGTTCACTTCGCTGGGAACATGTAATTGACCAACCTTCATCTGGCTTCTGATTTGCTAGTAGTTGGTTTTGCATCTCGGAAATGTGAAACGGAAACATGGATTCCAAAGAGAGGTCTTCAACGCTGAAACAAAATCTTCCTTTCATGCGATATCATGGAAAATCTAAAAATTGAGTAATAAATAGGGCCCCACACCTGAGTCGATGAGGATTTGGGGCAGATTTAGCAGTACCACTTAGACTGCTTCATACTCTTCTTCAATCCGCATGTAGAGGAACTGGCAAGAGAACTCACCGGGTGAACATTTCCAGACGACCTCTTTCATAATCGCCGCTCCTAGCTTTGGAAATGAATGGGCTAATGAGAGGGTCCCATTGGGGGTCTTTTTAGAAGATTATTCCGCTTTTTCCACCATTGACGTGCAATTAAGCACCCACACATCTACAGACCTCTACAGAACTTATCGTAATCGCTGCCCTCAAATGACGTGTGTAGGGCTTCGCTCGATTGAAAATGAACTATAAGTTTAGCACATGACATACAGAACATACGTTGTCGGCAATGTCGCTGCGATAGCCTGACCGAGCTTCAGAATACTCCGATTATCGCACTGGGGCTGTACAATCGCCGATAGCAAATTGAACACAATCTCATTAGTAGACCACAGCAGATGAGGACGATCGAACATTGTGAAGAGCAAACGCGAGAGAAGCGGTGACCGTCGAACAATGGTGAGATTTTCTCGCTCGTGACTGAAATCCAAATCAACTCAACAGATTAATCAACCGCTCTAATCCACCATGTTGGTGGATCGGTTTGTGTATGGGTTAGCCCACAGAATTTCCGGGATGTGGTTAGGAAAGCGATAGGAAAAACCCACCACTAACAAATATATGAAGCTCGCTGATCTTGCGGTATCATGCTTGTTGACAAAATGATGGTGATGACACCCACAACTGCTACAGATATAAACACCCATTTGGCATACTCTCGACTTTCCCACATTGTGCTACAATAGCAGCGGAGGAAGGGGCAAAGGAAAGGGGGCGAGGGAAGAGGGAGCAGCCAACAAACTTAAGGTCATGATTTCTAATGTAATATTGAGGTTTCATTATAATTTCATACCCTGATTGTGGTAGGATTCTCTACTAAGCATCCCTTCTGCGCCAAGGCACCCTCGCTTCGATGTTAACCCTAGAGGTAGACGCGAGCACAGCGGAAGCCGCGAAGGGTACGCAGGGAAAGGGAATGGTCGGCAAGCAAGGGATCGAAACTGGTTTCATTTTTTCTACCTTTTCATTTCATGATGTCAGTTTTGCAAGAAAGAACGTATAGGTTCCTCTTTCATAGGTCCAAAACCAGACCAGGGTGTATGCTCAATTTTTGAGGCAGTCGGCTGGGGTGACGCCGAGATCTCCAGCTTTTTCTACATGATACTTCCTACATACATATGAGTTAATGAGAGCAATGACAGATTAGTTCTGGCACCATTCCACTACTTCAAATAACAAAGCAAAAGAACATACTCTGTAATCAACTCGTAGAAATGTTCATAAAGCATTCTATGCTGCTCTTCAGGAGCTTTCTCCCAAATATCTAGGTCGCATAGCAGATCCTCGAAAGCCTGGAATAAGTAGTGCATTAGAAAATAGGCGACTTAAAGGAATCTTCCACGGACCATGGACCAGTGGGCGGGACCGGAAGTGGTTTTGCGACGAAATGCATGGTAGGTACGGATCCACGTTCATGGGAAGGTTTGAAGTGAATCCTGTTCACGTTCGTGCGTTCGACACGTGGATCCGTACCTACCATGCATTTCGTCACAAAAACTTCCGGTCCCGCCCACTGGTCCATGGTCCGTGGAAGATTCCTTTAAGCCAACAGCCAAAGAAAAACATTCGGTCCGGAGGACATGCATCGCGTCTGAGGTGAAAATCATATCACCGATAGAAAGGGCCAGAGTTTGCTCCGGTCAAATGCGAAGTTGCTTTACACACTGAAGACAGCACGATTCGTATGCGAATAATCCAGTGTGGGTATGTGGGGTAATGTAACCTGTGTTCAACTACACGCTAATCCATTTCTCGGGCAGGTGAGACCTTTCCTGACATTTTACTTTTCTTCCGCAGGTCATTCTGCAGAAGTCAATTGACTGCGTCTGTCTGTCCATGTGTTCGCTTGTCCTATTGTTTATCTGCCACCATAGACGAAGCTGAACCCGCTCATGGGCAAAGCATGCAAAGGCTGGCGATGCCGAAAAGAAAAAAATATAATCTGGTTCCAGAACAATCCAGACGACATGAAAAATTTGCGGAAGGTGTACATCGAGTTAGAGCAGACCAGGGGAAACCAAGCACGACGATTATCGGACGCTCTTTTGGCAGGGGTGCTTACTATTGCAACGCTACGTGAAATTTAAGCGAAATTTTTAAGAAAATGTGGATATTTTACAATTTTGCGAAAATGGAACAATATTTTGCACCACAAATAGGTGGGTGAGAGAGTAGTAGCCCTGATTAGGTGAACCTTAGCTATACATACAATACCTCAGCTTTCTAGACGATGGCGCACCTATCCATAAAAGCCTCGGTGAGATATCCTTACACGGCATGATTGCCGTTTGATTGCATTTTCATTGCATTTTTGAGCTTTTCATTCAGAAGCCATCTCCCACGTAAGGCCTCACTGAGTATTTCGCGACGACAAAGGAACACCGTCTCGACTCTGAGGAGCTAACGATAAGCTAACCTTCTGCGAGACCTAATCTGCGGACAGATCAACAGGAGATAGGGTGGTTTCCGGCTCTGCAAAAGAATTGAAACACCGAACGATGTACCCAGCGGTATTTGCCAGCGTGCATCCACAGCAACCTTCACGGCCTACCTCTTCTAAGACATTACCCACAAGTCACCTTAACTTGAAAGATCTAATATTACTTGATTGATCCCCATACGGTACATACAGCAATAACCCTCAGCAGTACATTTTGCTAGGATCGTACCACAGCGGGGACCAGTGCAATCACTGCACTTTTCTCATACGTCATTGATTTTGATACTGTCAAAAGGGACCGACCAATTATCAGTGTGATCAGTGGGTAGTGTGCTTTAAACAAGTAGTTTCAAACAGTAGTTTCGTTCTCATTCTGGAATGCCAATTATTGCACGCAGCCTCATTTAGAGCGCATCATCCGCACATAAGCAGACGGAATATACCGTAGTTGCTAGCCATCTGCAGACACCTTCAATCGGCAATATGCAAGTTCTGAACTGATGGTAAGCGCTTGATATAATCCTCCAACAGAAAGCAGTCTCTTCAGCTACATAACATAACGAAACCAAGTGAAAAACCAAAATGACTGCTAACCTGTGCATTTGGAATCGTAGCTATTTCCCTAGCAGTATCCAAAGTGCCAGCCATGCTGAATATCATATGCATGATATGAGAGTTTAGGAGATTCGCCTTGTCTTCGAGAAGCACCGCCAGCGTCTGTGAAATGGAAGATTATCACAAGTCACTGAAAATCAAAAGAATGAATTACCTGATAAGCCCTGTTTGCATGAAGAGTCGCTTGTAGATTGCTATTTGACCTTACAGCCGACACAACTGCTTTCAAGCTGGCGTATAGACCTTCGGAATCAGTAGCCATAGCTACGAGACCGTACAAACAAGCGTATCCACCCATGGAATCGAGCAAACGCGGAACCGGTCGAGGAATAAACGTACGCATACCAAGGTACCTTCAAAATTCATGATAAGAATTCTTTCTTTTCTTTGTAATTCTATAGCCTACCACTCACCCAATTATCACTGCTCCAAATGCTCTACCGGCGCCTGGAGCGTGAGCAACGGTATTGGTCATGATTCGCAGAGGAGTGCTGTTGTCGCTCGATGATATGCCCAACTGAAAAGAAAGAAGTTCATTCAATTAAGTTATTCGAAAAATACCGTCTGGTGCGAATTATTCGTGCCCTAGTTCTCTCTACTGGCGCAATCAAATAAGCGTATAAACAAAGAAATAAATAAATTCGGAATGCTGATCACAAAACTGTCCCTTATCCACTAGAGGATCAAAGGATCAGGAAAGGAAAATTGCCTAGTGGTGAGACGGGCGCACTTCCTGCTCGTGCGGATTGAAACGCAACTGGCAGCGAAAGATTTGACCTCGGCGATCTAGCATGGCTCACTCTTGGCGCGGTTGGCGCGGTACGCCCACCAACTATCTAACTACTCGCCATACTCACTTTATACACGGCGAGATTAGGTAGCAGATAGAGAGCGTTCAAGAT